TTTATATACTAAAAAAGGAAATTATACATATATATATTTTTTTAAAGGAAGTGTTTATTTTGCAGGGCCTGTCCTGATGTTAGGGGTCTCAAAGGGTTTGACGAAAATAATCATGATCTCCCTAAACACAGTTCAATAGCAATAGTAAATTTGGGATGTTCAGACATGAGAGTCTCATGTCCCATTTTAAATATGGAAGGGGTCAGAGAAAGGTAAATAAATGACTAATTAAAGTAGAATTCCTCAGTTACAGTTTTCATTATGGATGTTCTTCATTTTTCTGTGTGACGGAAACCACAAACCCGGGTTATTAATCAGAGATCATTGTATACAGAGGGTGTCATATCCCTGACACAGGGAGAACCAGCTTCTGGCGTAGGCGAGGCTGTAAATTTCACTTCCTGTCGGTCATATTCTCCCTGCAGCTCTGCTGATTTACCATCGTGTAATACTGTATGTGGAGGATTTGTTTTATAACTCAATCAGGCTGATTTACCAAATATAATAAAACAATAGCAGGGAATAAACCACAAGGGTGAGATTGGATCATGTGCCCATGTGTGTGAGTGAATGTGTGCTCACATGCACAATTGCAATCCAATAACATGTCTGAACTACTAAATTTGTCCTGTCAGTTGTTCCTGGACAGCTGCCAGGGATCAGAATCACATTGCTTTAAAGCAGTTAAAGTATTATCATTGAGAGAACAGTAAACAATCAACATGCTGGACAGTAGTGACTTTAGACCAGACTAGGTTAGCCCAGAGCTGCAGATAACAATATCAAACAGGTCCCTGGCACACCATAAATCAGGCTTTGCACTAGGGATGCACCAATACCATTTTTTTCGAGACCGAGTACGAATTCCGACACCTTTTCTCAAGTACTCACAGATACCAACTACCAATGTCTTTTTTTGTGTGTCATGTGACAGTTTTTCTAAAACAATACAGACTAATAATTTTAGGACAGTGGTGGAGCGCCAGGGCCCAGTCGCAGCTGAAACTGTGCTTCTAGTAGTTCTTACACTGACTCCAAGCTGTAGAGGGACTACAAATCTCATCAATGCAGAATAATACCACCAGCTATAGAGGACTACAAATCTCAGCAATACATTATACAGCAATGCAGAATAATACCACCAGCTATAGAGGACTACAAATCCCAGCAATACATTACACAGCAATGCAGAATAATACCACCAGCTATAGAGGACTACAAATCTCAGCAATACATTATACAGCAATGCAGAATAATACCACTAGCTATAGAGGACTACAAATCCAGGCAATACATTACACAGCAATGCAGAATAATACCACTAGCTATATAGGACTACAAATCCGAGCAATACATTATACAGCAATGCAGTACGGCACTGGCTATAGAGGACTAACAATCCCAGTAATACATTTTACAGCAATGCAGAATAATACAATCAGCTATAGAGGACTACAAATCCCAGCAATACATTAGACAGCAATGCAGAATAATATGCTACATACTCTGTGTTAGACTTGTGCACTTGATTTCGGACGAACCTGCAAATCAATGAAATTCAGTTGATTCAGCAGTTCATCCCAATCCGAAATAATGAATCTATTATATGCCGGAATATGCGAAAACTATATTCGAGCATATATAAATTAATTATCAGAACCCGTGAAGGCCATATTGGTGTATACCCCAGGATATACATCAAGAGGGCGGCGCCCAAACATGCGCATGACGTCACCCAACGCCGCGCGCGCAGCTTTGTGTGACGCCACCAAGAGGGCAGCACGCATATGATGATTGATATCGCTGCTGTGCGTTCTGCAGTTTCAATGTGCAGTTTCAGATTCGGAGGTTCTTTGCCTCCGAATCTGAAAAAGCATAAATATTTGTTTCGCTTGATGAAATGAATGAAAAGGTTTTTACTTTTCATTTGTTTTGTCTGAAACAAATTTTTATTCCGTGCACATGTCTACTCTGTGTTGCTCAGGGGTGGTGGCCTGATGTCTCCAGAGTCTCAGGTAGGCGGTCTTAGATGGGCTATGCAGGGTCTCAGGAGAGCTGCATAGGGTCTCCGGTGGGCTGTGTGGGGTCTCAGGAGGCTGTGAGAGGTCTCAGGGGGGCAGTGTGGGCTCTCAGGAGGCTGTGTGGGCTGTGCTGGCTCTCAGGGGGTGGGGTGTGCAGGCTCTCAGGTGGACTTTATAGGCTCTAAGGTGGGCTGAGCGGCCTCTCAGCCGAGCGGACTGTATAGGCTCTAAGGTGGGCTGAGCGCAATCCCATTGACTGCAGAGTTATACATGGAGAACCTGAGCGCAGTGGCTGATTGTTCCTGTAATTTGCTTTGTGAAATGAAAATAACTTATCGGTAATCTTTAAAGGCCAAAACTTTGCCGGGAGGCAGAAACTAGTCCCATCATTTACTTCAATAGCAGAAAAGCAAGAAACGAGTCAAGCAATTTTCTGCATTCCAGAAAGATACGGAAACTCCGAGATCTGACAATAATTGTGCTAGATTACCCCCGTGCTGATTTAGAGTGTGACACAATGTGACAACTCTGTGAGTAAAGGAAATGCATCCGGAATACACTTCACAGAACACTTGAATACAATCACAGAACATTTGACTCTTGCATATAGACAGGCAAGGTGAAGGCACTCACAGGCAAGAGAAGACAGTTTTCCATAGGCATGAGACCCTGCACACAAAAAAATCTCTCTCTGTACCATAGCAACCACTGATGGTGTGCAACCACCAACACAACCTCATTGGTTGCTAGGATGCTAGTGGCTGGGTTGCACAGCGTCACTGATTGCTAGGATGCAGGTGGGCACACCATGACCATCTATGACCCTATGGAGCTCCCAGAATCTTAGCAACCAATGATGCCGAGGATGCCACATCATTCACTGCTAGGACACAGGTGGCCCCACAGAATCATTGGTTGTTATGATGTGCCCACCTGCCTGAAAAAAACGTCCAGAGCAGCCCCAATGTATCTGGTGATAATGGGCCCTTCCTATGGGGGGCCTACTGGCAGGGCCGTCCCTACCTTGTTTGCCGCCCGAGGCAGTCAGGGAAAAGGGGGGAGCGGTGGGTTAAGCCAAGGTGTCAGCCGGGCAGGAGGCGGTGGCCGGCCAAGCTGTCAGTTGGGCAGGAGGTGGTGGCC